CCGTCCCAAGTCTTCCTCATACACTTTTTATCCCCCCTAGAAGCAGTGGCGTGTTCGCGGTGCTGTGCCTCTGACTTTCTTGTGCCATTGATGGCCCTGCGTTAAGCCACTTTGGGGGATTAACTGAGTTTCGGCCTATTGGCGTTTCTGATAACTTTCGTTGCCCACATCTCCCACGCTGTTCCCCCTCCTCCTAAAATAGTCGCGCTCCATCTGTTCTTTTTTCTCTTCTCATAACCTTGCTTCAAATCCTTGTCCTTCGAGACTGCAACCATTGTCGCTAGCATTCTCTTGTTACAAGACCACATCTGGTCCATTCTGTCCTTCCTTTCATTGCACCTTTAGTCTATCTCTTGCACATACTTGGTCGGTGTACCCAAGCACCACAATCTTTGTATATACATACTACTCCATACTGTCGCTCTCTTCGGTTTATCAATTCCCCACTCTCATTATCGGAATCCCTCCCCCTTTCCCTCGGTGTCTTCAACGGTCCTTGCGCACGCACCCACGCGCTCTTCATTCCTTTCCAAAACCCGAGAATCGTGCTCTGTTCTACGACCGGGTGTCTCATGCAACACTGATCCTCAAAATGAGCGTTGTCGCCAGTAGACCTACGAGCACGTCTGTCTCTTACAGCGCTATTCCTCACCAAAGCCAGGTCATTTCAGATTACAAGGATTCGATGTATGCCGTGACGGTGCAGCCGGTCTCATCTCGCACATCATCAGTCTCTTCTTTCAAAAGCAACTACAGCGTTTCAACTGCGCCCACAGAATACTCTACATCCCCCATCTTCTCAGCATCACTTCCTCGCTTCTGCGACTCGGCCGCGTCTCTGGATAAGATCTTGGAGTCAGTCTTCAAGCGTTTGCCCCAGGAGGTGTACGATGCGATTTTGGATCAATTATACTACTTACATACTGGCCCCAACCAAAATGGATGCTTAACATGCTTTCAACGCGACCTTCATGCGCTTTCTCTAACCTCCCGCCCATGGGAGAAAGCAGTCAGAGCAAGACTGTGAGTGATGCACTAGTCTAAGAACGACATTCGAGCTAACAGACCCGCCCGTCTTAGGTACAACCGTATACACATTATAGGGAACGATTCACCGAACCAATTGAAAAAATATCGATTGAAGCGCGGAAGTCGCCTCAAGTTATTACGGCGAACCCTTCGGGAGAGGAAATTGCTAGCCAATCTTGTTCAAGAGCTTCGAGTACCCCAATTAGACCTGCTATTCACAACAATCAGACACAGCACCCAATGGCAGGAATATCGGGATTTGGTTGCATCTGTGGTCATGGTGTGCCCAAACCTGGAACGGCTGTTGGGTTTGACCATTCCTTACTATCACGAATTTGACCGCTTGACACATGCGCTATCAACTCGGCGGAAGCTGAGGGAGCACACGTGGATCTTGGGAGAGGCTGCGGCGATAACTGAGAGGTCGCCTCGAAGTACGTACTGCCCCTGGAGCTTGGGACCATCACAGATGTTTGAATTTCTCGACTATCATGCGCAGTGGACATCCTTGGAAACTCTGATGCTGTACGGGCTTGATGAGAAAAACTCCCTCGAGCCAAGTATCTTCCTTCGCATGTGCAGTGAGCTCCCTTCGTTGCGAAACCTCTGTATCTCCAATTTCGACGCAGACGCCTTCAATGACAGCACCTTGCAATGCCTACCACCGCTGGAATCGCTCCGCCTGGAAAATCTCCCGGGAGTCACCGATACGGGCCTGTGCCAGTACGCATCGCAACCCGAGTCCAGCTCCCTCAAATCCCTCGCTCTAATTGAACAAAATATCGACTCGCTCCTGGTGATCTCGAAGATGCTAGCATCTTTAAGTCAGCTTGAACGCTTCACGTTCGTTCAAAGCACTAGATGCCCGACGCTGAATACCGACGGCATCGTTTTCCAACCACTTTTTGCCTCGTCAAGCCTGAAGTATCTTCACTGGGATGTTTCCGGCCCCGACTCCGGCGCTGCCTTGGGCAGACTCGACTACGTTCCGTTTATCAAACCACCCCGGCATACGGGCTCACCAAACTCACATCTTGCCCAAAGCATTCTTGCTAGCGGGTTTCCTCGTCTCGAGGCTCTGCGTGCGCCCTCAGATATAGAACCTCCCGGGGTCCTGCAGGCTGTATGCCAGCCTATGCCACGTGGACAAGCGCTGCTCAAACCCGATCGCTATAGTCTTCCCCGCAGCTCCCATGGTTCAGTTACAACCCGACCGAAGGCACTGCCCGCAGGAAACAACTTGACTTCTGCTCGAATCCGAGCTCAAACTTTCATTGACATGGCTGCGAAGGATACGGAAACTGGGATGCGATTCCTCGTCACCGACCATTCAGACTCGTATGTACCGGACAACGCACTCGAAGACGAATCGTCCGACGACGAATCTGATCTTGGATTGGACGAGTTTGACATCGGTGGTTTGGGACGCGAGCGGCAAAACCACGATCTCGAGACGGATGAGCACGAGGGACCGGTCGTTGTGTATGATTTCCATATGCCGGCATTTATGGGCAGAATCGGTTCCAGGACTTGTGCGCAGGACGTCTCAATCCCGCGGTTTGTTCTTCGACCAGATATACCCGGGCAAGATGGAGATGGGGGCTTGGTTTCGTGGAAAAACGTTCACGCTTCCAATCAATCCCTGACATATGCTGCTGGCGTTGGGGCGGACTGCTTTGGGGTTAGGGGACACACCAAGCCGCTGGCGGAGGAGCCACCATCCCCGACCTCGACTACTACTTCACGGTTTGGATGGGGAAGCATCGGAAGCCGTTCCGCTCTGGGTACAAGTCCGAATACGCCTATAACCCCATCCACGCCAATGTCGACAGCAGCACTTCCTTGGGATCGCGATGCTTGCACTGGGTCATGGAACTACAGTCATCGAAGTGGACGAGAATGGTGGTTTCACATGGAACGAGACCGCCCGGGAAATGTCGAGATAGTCGATGTCAAGCGACTGTTTTAATCACTTTTTTCCCCCGGTGTTATTGTTTTCGAAAACAATACAGCATGCGATAGGCGCATGCACCTACGCAGAAACGGCGTTTACGGAATTCTACGGGCGGACGATCTTCTTTTTCTCCTTGCTTCCACTGTCTCATCAAACAAGATGAGCCTGGTGATCTCCCAATACCACTTATAATTTTTGATTCCCCTGCTCAACTCTTATGATCTGGCGCATCCTCGGTTGGGTTCATATATCCTTGGCCGCACAATCTTTATGTATTATACATGTTCCTCCTTTTCTTTCCCCCTGGTTATTGATCAACCCGGGCGTTAATGTTGATCAACCGATGTTTCCCTGTACATGGTAGTAGCTTATGTTCAGATCTATTGACTGAATTATGTATATTCTCAGCAAGATTAGAAAAGAAAGAATTAATACACATGATAATTCACACCATCAATCCAATTCACAAAAGACCAGCAGGCTTATCGACAGTATCCTGCAATCCCTGACCTCCAACCTCGCAATGTTCCTTTGTACTTCCGTTTCCAGGGTGAAACACATGCTGCATGCACTGCACCTCTGCGCGGGACGGAGCGCCTCCACCGTTGCTGCGAATGGGTATTGATGCCCTGGCTAGTAACGGCTCGTGGTGGCGAAGCACAGTCTGTGGGATGGGCCTTGACTCCAGCGCAGTAGGATAGGATTTTTCAGGTGTAATCTTATGCTCCTTAGCACACCCGCCTATAGCATGATGATTCTCCTTTCAAGTACTACGACGGGGGTCAGATCACTAGGGTTGAGGTCTAACCATCGACGCCAGATCCAGGAAGAGGGAATGAGACCTATCAGGCACTCCCCTACAACTTGGTATTTTTGCGCTATAGCAAAGTCCCGGAGCACTACCTCAAAAACCTCTTGGATGAGTATGAGGTTGAAGTAGGCCAAATCGTCGAACGGGGAGGACCGGATCCGACGACGATTCAACCGGTAGCAGCATGGCTCTCGCCATCGTGAGTTTCGGGCAAAGACAGAGTCTCGTCTAGTTGACCTACCACTAGGGGCTCGGGGAAAGGTCCTTGTCAGGCGCTTCACTATCGAAGCCTGTTGCTCACAAAACTGTCAGCTGATGCAGATTTCTGAGCGGTAGAGAGGAGGAACTGCATGCATGACTCTTTCCTTGGGATATTATGGAAGTGACGACTATTGATCTGGCATGCGCTTACTTTCTCTCTCTTCTCTCTCTCTCTCTTTCAGTCTAATCCTGATGACAGTAAAGGCCAGCCTTGCTTGAACAATGTGTAGAAAACAGGTACCGATATCAGACTCAGTAAATGCTTGGATTTGAGTACATCAGTGAGAGAAGGCTGATGAACAATGAGTAAGGCCGGGACCCATTCGGACCCAAGAAGCTGAGTTATCCAAGCTTGGTACAAGAAATAAACACAAGAACATTAAAGACGAAGATATCAAAGACAGGTGAAGGCGAAGAGATGCAAAAGCAAAGCACTCAGGCTCACATCTGCGGGCTTTGTGGATATCGATGCTCTTACGGTCAGTGTGACCGCTTCGGTCCGTCTCACCGTCCACCCAAACCTGGCCTCACCAAGTACCCTGCTTTAATTAGATTGAAAGTCGCATTATTGCTCCTAGCACCTTGGGCCTCGCTAAGCTTCAAGCATGGAGAACATTCAGGTTGGACAACATTACAAGCGGACGGGAAGAACTATATCTCCATGCTCAACTCCGTCAGTGGCAGATATCTTAGCCCTCAGACCCGACCAGGAGATCTTTACAGTTCTGAGCAAGGTCCTCTGGGGCAACACGGTCCTCCTGCACGACTTGTCGTATGTCTCCAAGGCCGGCTTCAACGTGGGACCCGCCGAGGTCGAGGCGATGCGGCTCGTGTCTCAACATACCTCCGTCCCGGTCCCCCACGTGATCCACGCCGCATGCAGTGCCGGCTACGGCAATATCGAGATGACGATCGTACCCGGAACCTCGCTCGACGGAAGATGGGACATGTTGGACGCACGGGGCAAAGAGTCCGTCTGCCGACAAACGTGGCAGCTGATCGCGGAGATCCAGGCGATTCCGCGGCCACCGGAGCTCGAAGACATCGTCCGGTGCGGCGTCGACGGCTCCGTTCCCCGCGACACCTTCTTCGAAGATTTGCAGGACCCTTTTCGTGCCCTGCGGAGCGATGCCGAGCTGCGAGTCCGCATCTGTGAGCGCTACCTGCACTTCGGCGGCTATCAGTACGCAACAGCCGATGATCTGTTAGGGATGCTGCCCCGATCCAAGCGCACCGTCTTCACCCACGCGGACATCGCGCCCCGCAACATCATGGTCGATGCGAACAACCGGATTACGGGGATACTGGACTGGGAGCACGCGGGCTGGTATCCGGAATACTGGGAGTACGCGCAGATCCTCCGGTCGGCTGCTTGGGGGGACTGGTCCGAATGGATGGACCGCACGGCACCGCGGCAATGGGATCTCCGGGGGATAGAGGCTGCCAGGCTGGTACTGGCCTTGGTCTCCTCCGAAGAGGAGCCGGAGCCAGAGTGGTAGTCACGGTGTATATCATGGATGGGTAGCGGACTGCGGACGGACTGACTTCACTACAACAGCCTACTCTACCCTCTTAGTCGTCCTCAACTCTTCTACTAGCGCTAGTCTTCACATCTTACACTAGTACACCCAGCAGCACAGTGAACTACCAACCTGAATGCCTTCCAACCACCCATAACTAGAGCCGAGCGAATCCCGTGGGAATATGCACGAACAGCTGGGAACGCTCAAGGCGCAAGCGAAAAACCCATGAACCAGCTTTGATGTTGCCAGGAGGCTACAGGAAAGTTTTACCGCCACGTTTTACGGAAAGGGGTTGGGCGATAGAAATATTCTCGCATGCATGAAGCTCTCGATCCGGAAGAACGAGGAATGATATAGAAGTACGATTTTCGAAAGCAAAACCCGTCCGAGTGAATTGATAAACCAAACAGCATCCCGGGAGGACTTAGGTCCAGTGATGGAAGACATCTGCATCCCCAGGGTCGCGCTGACTCGCGTCAGATGGGCTGCTGGCCTCGACTGCTTCCACCATAACCTCAGCTTTGTAAAGCAGTTCAGACTCAATATCGGTCGGCATTTCGGCCCAACTTCTGTGACGATCAAACGGCACGAATTTGTTAGGAAGATCGTAGCGGCACACCCCAGGTCGTAGGACGAGAATCACCCGGCTATGTGGCTTGGGGATCAACGGCGGAGTATTATTCCGCTCCCTGTCATGGACTAGACCCGAGAACATAATTCCTGTAGATGGGTCAAACTGCTTCACCTCGGGCAGCTGATGAAACTTCACGTGCCCTCCCAATGTCACCTCATGCGCTGTGAAATACTGCACACTCTCCCGGAAAACCTTGATCAGATGACAACGCCTCGTCTCTTCTTCCGCACTGGCCAACTTGTCGAGAAGTAGCTGAAACAGGCTGTCTGCTAGAAGATGGTCCGCCAGCCTCTCTGCTATACCCGCCTGTCGCTTGCGATTCTCATCTCCGAAAATGTAAGGAGGGTTGTCACGAGGGTCCCGGGGCGATAAGTCTTTCTTCAGGTTGGCCAGGGCAAGGGTGACCATCCTCCACCAGACCGCATTCACAGGGCTTGCTAGAAAGACCAAGGATGACAACCGCCCTTGTCAGAAATACATCCATCAATCGAAGAGAGGGAACGGGGCCCAACAACTGACCTTCGTGGTATCTTTGAAACAGATAGTGGAGTCGATCAGCGAACGACAGATCCCCAATCTCATCATTCTCATCCAGTTTCCCATCCAGGAACCAGAATGGCCTGTTGAGAACCCGGGTGAAGAGCAATTTATTGACCATGGCTTCACACAAGTATAGGTGAAATTGATCACGGGATTCGGGAGAGAGTAATGCTTGAATGGTATCCCAAGGTTCTTGAATACAGTATGTATCTAGACCTTGAATAATCTTCTGTTTCTGTCCCTCGGAAAGGGGTGGCATCTCCTCACGAATCCATCGCTCAGTCCATATTTTGACCATGTTCTTAATCTTATGATATTCGACTATGACGGTATGTGGATCGGGCGAATATCCAGTCCGAGTAATCAGCATACGGTTACAATGGCTCTGATAGGCTTCGTATTCCTCAGCTGTCAGGTGAACTGAAGGCTTTCTGGATGGCTGATTACTGTCGGCGGCTGCCTTGCGTCCCTACCTGAAGATCAGACACATGATGGTATCTTGGTGGGTGGAGAAGAAACTGACCCTCTTTGCTTTTCCTTTTTTCTTCTGGCTTAGTGTGTTCACCATGATGCTTCAACTAAATGGAAATGAAAAGTGAGTATGGATCTAGTGGAGAGAAGGGAAGATAACAGAGGGTAATTCCACCGTGGGTATTCACCGTGGGTATATAATGTGGGTGTCAGTATCCCATCCTCGTGACTTGGTCTTCTCTTTGTCTTGTCTCACAACAAACGCACAGCAAACAACAACAACAACAACAACAAAGAAGAACCCATTACCCCTCCTCTCCCCAGCATATGCTAGCAATCTATTTATCCCGGAGCCGGACAAAGGTCGCGATTGGTATGCCAATTTCTCAATTTCCTACCGCAAACCCGCTCAACCAACAATTAGCCCAGATCTTCCAATTTCTTCATTGTTCTATCGTGCTGTGGTTGACCCAGAAGACCATGAATAGCGCGAGCCTGGTCGTTGGAGTCGATTTTGGATCCAGTAAGACAGGTATTATACCCCTAAGATTCTTCTTTCTATCTCTCTTAATGTGTTCGTCACTCACACTTCTCTATCTACACAGTGGTCTCATTTCGAGAGTCTAGCGCCATATAAATAAGTCCCCACATTCTGTGCCTTGACGGAAGTGCTATTATCCCATCGAAGATCGCTTATAGCCCGGATGGGCTATGCTGTATCGGCAGGCCCGCCCTGAGGGAGTCGAACTGTATCTTTAACACCCATACCACTGGTGGTCGAATGCCAAACCACCGTGAGATTCGAAAAGGACCACCTCCCACCAGAACGGGTCCTTGGTCTAGCCGTATATTATGGACAAGGTCTTGACAAGCGACTAGTGGGCCACATGAGAGTACTCATGTAGGATACGCGTTGAGAGCGACTGCGCCGAGGTTTCCTGCTCAGCTACCGCGTGCAACAGGTGTAGAGCAAGGACGGGAATGAGAGTAGACATTCTTTTTGCTGGGATAGACAGAGAAAGGCGATTTTGCGGACGGGCCCATTGGCAAGTGTACTCTGCTTTAGACGCACTCATGAAATTCACCTTGTTGAAAGAGAGTCTGCCACACACAGACCGGCAGCATGAAAGCATCAAGACCGGTGGAAGCTATACGACTGTTAGAGGGTAGATGTACTGTCTCATCTGCAGGATACTAATATCAGTTGATGGTCAATATCGGGTATTGTGAATATAAAAGACAAGCATAGAGTAAGCGTCTGGCCCTTGTCCTCTACCTCGATGAGACATCCTTCCGCGTGCCCACCTAAGAGCTCAAATACGAAAACAGAGAAAATCACAAGGAAGATATCCGCAACAAGAGTGAGTAGATTGTTAGTCCAGGGAATCGCTTAGGACACGCACCTTTGTCCTCCCCTCCACGCTTGGCGGTGGGCCTGAGCAGAAACCCGCTGAGTCATCTCGGTATTCCTACCGCCCTTGTGCTTGGCTTGGCCAAAAGCTCCGGCAAGGCGTCCATCAAGTACACCTTGGAGACATTTGATTATCGCATTCATCCCCACTTACACCTGTTAAGGTCTCTTTCAGGGCGTAATTGACATCCTTCATAAGAGATTAGACACAAGCATCAGAAATGCCTCTCATCAACGAATCGCACGACTCCCTGCCATGTGAGTTGCCCCCCCGGAGCTCCAGAGAATTTTCCTTCTGACACGCGTGAATCTTCTTCACAGATATCGAGGCAGAGCCCTCAACTTCAGCCAGAGAAGCGGCGGAGAGGCTCATTGCCGCAGAGCTCCCGGGCGACTTCCAGACCACCATCCACCCGTCCATCCCCGCTTTCCCCGACCCCCAGTTCTCCCCCCTCATGCAGCAGGAGGTGGCTCGCAAGGCGTCCGGATTGCCCTTGACTGGGGGAATTGACCTATCACGCTACGAGGCCCCCGAGCCGCCCGCAAGAGCATCGGACGGATCCCCTGACCTCGGGGAGTGGCGCCGGACACTGCAGAAGGCCTACACGGCCAGCTCCCACCTGTCCATGCGACATGACAACCTGGCGCTACTGGAGGAGAACGGGAAGAACGCGTGGCTGATTGGCAACTCGCAGCTGGAGGAGATCCTCCGCGGCCTAGAAAAGGAACTGGCCGAGACCAAGGAGGCTGCGGAGTCGGTCAACAAGGAGAGGAAGAGGGCCCAGGAAGCCAATCAGGCCGAGCTGGAAGGATTGGAGGAGACTTGGAAACGCGGGGTGGGCGCGATCCTCGATGTGGAGTTGGCTGCAGAGGGTCTGCGCATGCAGATCTTGGAGCAGAGACGCCAGCTGGCGCAGCAGCACGCGCGGTAATGGCCCTCATCCTTCAAGGATTTTAGATCAACTTTGAAAAGAGCAGACGGCCGGGGGAGGGGGTATCGCGGCGCACTGATTCGGCCGGATGGACAAGGAACAAGTACTTTTTTTGGGGAGTGCTACTCGATGTCTCGAATGGTGGTGGGCCTCCAGAAGGATTCTCCGCTCCCGTGCATTGGAGCATACGCAGCCTTGAATGAGAAAAGGAGGAGGACAGAGCCATATCTCACAAACAGGGCAGATCCTCTATCATGATAGCAGGGCTCCAAGTTCGAGGGTTCATTGGGGGAAAATGGTTAATTGGCGCCGAGCAACTGACGGTGGCAATGCATTGCAGCTGGAGGTGGGGAAACGCTCTGGGTTCTGGCGATCCCCGCACTACTACAGTTCAACTTTACTGTACTGTACACTGCCCAGTACCTCACCTCCACAACCTCGAACACTTCCGGCGTCTGGAACTTCGATCCATGATATCAGCCCGTCAGCTCAAAGCAACCCACAACACGAGCTCCGCATAAAACCCCCCACTATTGCCAGGATTGCTACTTATATTTTCCCGTCCACTGCTCCCCCGCAAAATCCTTCGTGCCAATCCTTCCGGCACATCGTCGGCTACTGCATCCATACCTCCCACGACTGTCTAGCTGTTTGTTCAACTTCATTGCAATTGCAATGGAAATTTGCTGGTCGCGGCATCGTCCAGGTATCGATTGCCGATCATAAGCTTGTGCTCTCCTGCCTTCCGTCTGCGTTTGTTCTCATCGAAGCAGACAAAGACGGTTTTCTATGGACTATCTTAGATAATATAAGTATGACGGGTGCCTCCGCATTCTGGTTTCATGTTCCATACTATTACTCCCATACTATTACCCTTGCCTAATCGTATCCCTGGGCCTTTTACTGCATGATGAATGCATCGCCCCCTCTTTGTATGCGGGGAAGCTCTTTGTTTCCAACCACATACCCCAACTTTCTCTTCTCAAACCACTCATTCAAGAGTCATCCAAGTTAATAACCATCGTCGACTATAGCAGTACCCTGACTCAGGCGGCATACTGATTGGCTGCAGGAGGTCAATGCCTGTCTTGATCATGGAGGGTCAAGGAGTCGTATGCGGGGTCATGGACGATTCGTGCGGAGACGGACTTTGTCTGTTGTGAAATTCTCGCCTGTCGTGTCTGGTCATGATGCCTTGATAGATTCCAGTTGTAGGCCGGGAGTGGGCTATATAAACTTGTTGGGCATCCATGGCCGTCAAGGATTGATTTTCATTTCTGTTCCATGCCCGGGGAGCATCTTATACTGTCCAGAAAGCACCGCATTGCATCGCAGCCATGACCATCCCCGATGAATACGATATTATCGTCTGTGGCGGTGGAAGCACTGGGTGTGTGGTGGCCGGCCGCCTCGCCAACCTTGACCACAATCTTCAAGTCCTGCTGATCGAAGCCGGCGAGGACAATCTGAACAACCCATGGTAAGTCCTCACCTCACACTCTTTGTGGTCAGAGCACTACCAACCGTGTCTCAGGGTCTACCGCCCGGGGATTTATCCCCGAAACATGAAGCTGGACTCCAAGACAGCCTCGTTCTACTATTCCCGACCCTCAGAATGGCTCGATGGACGGCGCGCCGTCGTGCCATGTGCTCATGTTCTGGGGGGTGGTAGCTCTATCAACTTCATGGTATGCATGCCTTATTGTGGACGTTGACATCCGTCATAGCTGATGACTATTCTAGATGTACACCCGTGCATCTGCTTCCGACTACGACGACTGGGAGTCTGACGGCTGGAAGACTGACGAACTCCTGCCCTTGATGAGAAAGCACGAGACCTACCAACGTGCGTGCAACAACCGCGACCTTCATGGCTTCGAAGGGCCCATCAAGGTCTCGTTCGGAAATTACACCTACCCGATCATGCAGGACTTCCTCCGAGCGGCCGAATCGCAGGACATTCCGATCACCGATGACTTGCAGGATTTGAAGACCGCGTCAGTTACTCCCACTGTATATCACAATCTCATACTAACTCGCTTGCTCAGCCACGGGGCCGAACACTGGCTGAAATGGATTAACCGCGATACTGGTACGAGTCTATTCCCCATTTGATTCATTACACCGATGCCAATGGCAATCTTCACCAGGGCGACGCAGCGACTCCGCCCACGCCTACGTCCACAGCACCCGATCCCAATACTCGAACTTACACCTCAAATGCAACACCAAGATTGACAAGGTCATCATCGAGAACGGCCGCGCAGTTGGAGTCGCAACGGTTCCAACCAAGCCGTTGGCAGGCCACAACCCACCGCGGAGGGTCTTCAAGGCCCGCAAGCAGATAATCGTTTGCGGTGGCACCCTCAGCTCCCCGCTCATTCTCCAGCGATCGGGCGTCGGGGACCCCGAGAAGCTTCGCCGGGCTGGCGTCGAGCCCCTGGTGAATCTACCGGGCGTTGGCCGCAACTTCCAAGACCACTATCTGACCTTCTCCGTCTACCGAGCCAAGCCGGACGTCGAGTCCTTCGATGATTTCGTGCGCGGAGACCCCGAAGTCCAGAAGAAAGTCTTCGACGAATGGAACATCAAAGGAACCGGCCCGCTAGCGACGAACGGCATCGAAGCCGGCGTGAAGATTCGGCCCACCCCCAAGGAACTGGAGGAGATGAAGACCTGGCCGACCAATGACTTCTACAAGGGCTGGGAGAGCTACTTCAAGAACAAGCCCGATAAGCCTGTGATGCATTACTCCGTCATCGCTGGGTGAGTTTCCCCTCCTCTCTCAAGCTCTTTTTGACTCCCTGTCTAACGATCCACTTCAGCTGGTTCGGCGACCACATGCTCATGCCCCCTGGCAAGTTCTTCACCATGTTCCACTTCCTGGTAAGTCAACTGCCCTACCTACCTACCTACCCCAGTGCATCTAGCCACCCTCCCTCCCATCATGCTCATTCTTCTGGGACCAGGAATACCCCTTCTCCCGGGGCTTCACGCACATTCAGTCCGCGGACCCCTACGAAAGCCCCGACTTCGACGCCGGCTTCATGAACGACAAACGCGACATGGCCCCCATGGTTTGGGGCTACATCAAGTCCCGGGAGACCGCGCGCCGCATGCACGCCTACGCCGGCGAGGTCACGGGCATGCACCCGCACTTCCCGTACGACTCGCCGGCGCGCGCCTTCGACCTCGACCTGGCCACCACCAAGGCCTACGCGGGGCCCAACCATCTCACCGCGGGGATCCAGCACGGTAAGCAGCCCCCCTTCTACCACGAAGCTCAGAGGAAATACTAAACCACGACAACCAACCACACAGGCTCCTGGTCCGCCCCGCTGGAACCCGGCACCTCGCCGACGACCACCTTCCTCAATTCCAACAAGCAGGACACCCGGGACGAGCTCAAGTACACGACCAAGGATATCGAGCATATTGAGAAATGGGGTGCGTTTTGTTCCCACGTTTTCTTTCTATAACCCCCCTTCCCCCTCCCAAACCACTTATCTCCCACAAGACTTCAACGAAAACCCCACACTGATCTGTCTCGTAAAAGTCCAACGTCACGTCGAAACAACCTGGCACTCCCTCGGAACCTGCAGCATGGCCCCGCGGGCCGGCAACGCCCTCGCGCCGCAGGGTGGGGTCGTCGACGAGCGCCTGAACGTCCACGGCGTGCAAGGCCTCAAGGTCGCGGATCTGTCCATCTGTCCGGATAACGTGGGGTGTAATACCTATAGTGTACGTTTTCCTTCCCCCCCCCCCGGCGTGTCATGCACTTTTAGCAAAGGTTTCACGGTGGCTGTTTTCATTTGAGTGGGGTTCCACAGCTGACATCTTTGGGCGACTTCAGACGGCTTTGCTGATCGGGGAAAAATGTGCGGTGTTGACGGCGGAGGATCTGGGGTATCGCGGGGCGGCGTTGGAGATGAAGGTGCCTGAGTATCATGCGCCGGGGGAGACGAAGGGGTTGTCCAGGCTGTAGGCCTTGTTGGTCAAGATGGCGAGGGATGGTTTTGGGAGGTTTGTGAGGGTGGTTTTTGTTTGTATGCTGTTAAATATATGTTCATCCTCCTATTTATGATCAAATATGTTGCTGGGTTGATTATCTTGATATCTTTCGTGTAGAGGTGGACGCTCGCCATATAATTGTAGTAGACTCATGTGTATATGTACAGATTCCGAAGTGAAGTATGTATATATGTGTACTGTACAGTTGCCGCCCCTCCACGACACGACAACCTACAACTTCGTCGGAGGCACCACCAGATTAATATCCACCCCTCCACCCTCCGAAACACTCACCATCCCCTTCTTCGCCGCCGCCTCCGCCGCCTTCACATCCGCCCGCCGGTTCCAGTCCTCGAGCTGCTTGCACATCCCGTACAGGGTCTCGATCGGCGGCGCGTACCCCAGCCCGCCCTGCGCGGGGCTCCTCCGCGCCCGCGAATCATCCGCGATGACGTGCACGTTCGAGATCGCGAACAGACCCGGCTGCAATTGCGCCAGGTCGCTCGGCACCGGCGGGAGTAACCAGGGTAAATACAGATGCTGCAGGAGGGAGTACCACTCGACGAGGTAGGAGAGCAGGAAGAAGGGGATCGCCGGCACCCGCGGGAACTTGACGGGGGTCTTGGCCAGGGTCTGGAGCAGGAGGTAGAGGTCGCTGAAGGCGATGGCCGGGTTGGGGTCGGTGACGAGGAAGGCCTGTCCGCCGATGTTGGGGAGCTGTGCGGGGGTGGCCGTGTGCTCGAGGAGGCGCTGTTCGTAGAGCAGGTGCGCGATCGAGACGTTCTCCGCGTTGACGAAGTTTTGGACCACCGGGTAGATCCAGCTTTTTACGGAGGGTGGAAAGAGGTTAGGGGGGCGGATTGTTTAGGGGATATTGCGGAGGGAGCGGGAGCGCTACTCACCTGACGTCTCCACCGGTCTTCAGATACATCGTTGTCACCCCTGCGCTGGTTTCTTCCCCGATGCCGTAGATGCCGTTCGCGGGTCGGATGCAGCCGGTGCGGAAGTTGGATTCGAGATCGTCCGCGGCGCGAACGAGGGACTCGGCTTCCGCCTTGGAGACGGCGTAGTTGCCGAAGAAGTCATAGTGTTCCTGCGGCAGAGGGGTCGCGTCGCTGATTACCTGGACCATGTGTCTGGGGGTCTTCCGCCAGGGAGGGAGCCAGAAGGAGCCACTGCGCAGAGCGACGGAGCCCGATGAGGTGGAGATGAAACAGCTTGCGCCGTGCTTCTTGGCAGCTTTCAGCAAGTTGACGGTGCCGGTCACGTTCACGTTGCGGCACCGTGATAGGAAAGCTTTGTGACGCTCGGCGGGCCGGATGACTGCCGCGTTGTGGTACACGGTCAACGGCAGGGCTGCCACGACTTCAGGCCATGGGTGCGCGAAAGCGCTCGATACGGCCTCCTCGTCGACAATGTTGGTCTTGAAGAACGTGACGCCCTGGTCGAGAATCTCGCGACGAGGTGGTTGGAGGTCTAGAACCCTAATAGCGGCCGGGTTCTCGCCGCGAGCAAGCAGATGTGTGACAATCCAGTTTCCGACAAGTCCTAGCATGTGTTAGAAGGTGCTTTTTGTAGCCGGGAGCCCCCTTGGCATGGCAGCTATCGTTCGCAGCGCATCCGCAGTCGGGACATTTTCTGCAGGCAGCTCAGGGCTATAGACATACCCGATCCACCAATTACAATATAGCGACGATTCTGCTTGGGAGGCAGCCTGCTTTCGACATCCACAGGGTTACGAATCGCATCCTCGTAGGCGTTCTTGATCTCTTCGACTGTCCAGCGGTGAGAAGACAGGCGGCGGACTTCCTTTGGAACCTCAGTCATGCCTCGATTGACATGATAGAGGTAGAGGAAGGTCAGGCCGGACACGGCGACTAATGCAGGAAGCATGGCCAAACCCGGGCTATACTGAGCGCAAAGGTGGCGGATTTGACTCTATTTGATGGGCGATATAGGGTCCATGACTCCAAGAAATGGTCAGTTTGGAAAAGAGCTCGAGGCAAGGTAGATATTTAATTCCAATACATCGAGCCGTGTCCCTGAGCGACAAGCCTATCGGGGGCAGCACCATGGCGGTTCGAGCCATGGGCGTTGCGTTCGCTTCGAACGGGATCCAAATTTAGTCGCCTCGGTTAGAAAGCGATGCCGCGATCCACAAGTTGAAGACTTTCGTTGGTTGACCGGAGCATTCTACCGGGCATGTCACGGACCTTTCTTAAGGAGTGGAGGTCTTGGAAGTTGGAAGTTGGAAGTATGGAGCTTGCTTTGGGAATGAAGTGAGATAGTCGAAAGGAGAGCGATCTCTCACAAGCGCGGTGCTTGTTTATCCCGCGGTGTCCGCGGGACATTGAGTGTGAGCTTTGACCATCCTCAGCATTTCATTGATAATTGAAACGAAAAGAGTGTCGCATCATACCACGGCTCCAAGCTGCCTGATGTCGCTCCTGATCATTGCTTCTTCCCCATTAGCTGCTGCTCAACCACTTTTGCGGCGGGGACTGGGATGGTAAATGGGATGTTGAACTTGGTGAGTATAATATTGTTGCATGCACGGAATAATCCAGACCATGTCACAGGCGCCCACGTGATTCTACCTCGAATTGGCCGGATTCTTGCTCGGGATGATTCCGAGCACGAATGGGTCGTCAGTCCCTTCAAGGTTAAATGTCCGAGACTCCATTTGATCTTCCGGAAGGTCTTGAATCAATCCGGTGCCTACGTACAGTGTACAGTACAGCACCTATCTATCAGCGACTGTGGCCACCAAATCCTCAGTTTGATAGTGGTGAACGTCGACGAGATTCAGTCTGTGGAGATTATCCGAGCCCAGCTGATTGAGATGAATGATGTCGGCCCTCTATCTAACTTTGGTCCAGTCTAGAAAATAGAGAACCCTCTATATCTCATTCGGTGGGTCCCGAATCTTGTTAGCCTGACTCTGGGCAGTTGCTGATGCCTTTGAGAGCACAGCTTATACTTTTTCCATTCGCCATGGCTCTAGATCATAGAGACCGGGTGCTTTTGTTGGCACACTAAATCCCACATTTTAAACACCTTTGACGCAGCTTCCCAGCGCTCCATTGGGCTTCAAGGACCGCATAATGGAGGGAATAACTTGATGGGACGAGTCAACAACAACGGGACATTGCCAAGGCTCAGGTGTATTGAAATCCTCTCAAACCAGCACTCGTGATCGTCAATTGAGGGCCCAAACATGCGGAGGACTCATATTAACCTTGGACACCGAGCAAGACCTCGAAATAAGAACCATTCGACGCCTGTAGGTCGATCGGCAAACCGGCACGGGCGGCAAACCAGACCCGGCCTGCGATCTCTGTCTCGGTCCGTTGATTGGCTCGTGCCTGTAAATGACTGTAACGTGCTTGCTTTTCCAGTCATTGCATGTATGTGGTGGGTGTTAATCACTCGATTCTCCAGAATCCAGATTGTGTCCAGTGTCCACCTCTCCACGGGGATGACCCATGAGTTTAATGTTTATGACTACGTACGTACTCATATGAGCTCCATCATGATTTGGGGTAAAACCGGGGATCGAAGCAGGAGCACCAATCTGGCATCCTGGGAATATTGCTATGCAAAGGAACCTGACCTACCCTACTGACAAGGGTAGCGATCGATCAAATCCCGAAACTACTGCAGACCCCCTCTTGGTACAAGCGATGAGCGCCAGATCGTCGAGTCATACTGACATGCGATACCGGTGGTCAAGTAATAGAGAAGTTACAATCTATCGCCAAAGTCTTATCAGCACAGATTGTCGCCCCACTCTCTCGTTGCTCTCTCGCCAGTCTTAAGCCTAAATTGTATTCCTCAACCGAGTTAGCAAGAGTTCCAGGGCCGCTAATCTTCAAAAAAAACTCCTTGTCCATGTCAATCCCACTCCTTCAAGAGGGCTAGCTCTCGCTCCAGTGCCTGGCCCCTCTGGACTTTTATTCTCGAGCTCGCCACTCCTCACACCTCTTTAGCTCTGTCAAGCTGAACCTCCAGGTCCCTGGTAGACCTGAATCTGAACGCTATCTATGTGATAGCTCCTAACGACCTCTATCCTATTGTACGAAACGGGAGAACAATTTTACTGCCACATCCTGAAGGCCTTAAAAACCACTCAGCTCATGGAACCTCATTCCTAGTCTTAATATCTAATACAAAGCTATACAGAGCAAGTCTCTAGTTTTGCACGTCATATACCGGACTCACACCGGTGCCTCGGCTGTCATAACAGCCAGCAAAGATCATGTCGTCCCCGCAGACTCCTCCTCCAGATGTCCACAAAAGCATTCGTCCTAGCGAGGAGGAGACCACCACGAGATATGCCCACTCCATTGCTGAAACAACGTCTTCCGACGAGACGGTCGATCAGATAGAGGCTCTGGCCAACATCAATACGAGGACATCGCGCATTTCGATACCCTCACTAGCGCGAAAAGTAACGTCGATTGGCACTACTGGGACTACCGACCCGAACTATGAGGTCGATTGGGAGGATGAACTCGATAGGACCAATCCAAAGAACTGGTCCCTCGGATACAAAGCCATGGCGATGTTCTTTCTTTCGTATAACACTCTAATCATGTAAGTTGTAACCATCCTTCCCTACATCCAGGAATTGCCACGTCCCCAGGACTGACGTTCCTCTTTCTTAAATACCAGAGTCCTCTATTCGACCTCCTACACATCCGGTATTCCGCAAATTGCCGCCGAGTTTGGCGCCTCAAGCACAGTGGTCACTCTGGGACTGACCATGTACCTGATTGGGCTTGCCATCGGGTCTATGTTCATGGCTCCCTTGAGTGAACTCTACGGGCGAAAGCCCGTTTCTGTCTTCTGCCTTGCGATCTTCACGATCATGATCATCCCCTGCGCAGTCAGCAAGAATCTAGCCACCTTGATTGTGTGCCGCTTTATTGGAGCGCTTTTTGGTAGTGTGATGATTTCAACGGCGCCAGGAATGGTTGCGGATATATCGCACGATGATCAGCGCGCGCTGGCAATGTCGATTTGGAGTATCGGTCCCCTCAATGGTCCAGGTATGCGCATTCTTCGATCTGAGAGTTAGAGATCAGAAAAGATTGACAATAAATGCAGTGGTCGGTCCCATAGTTGGAGGGTTCGTGACGCAGTACTTGGGCTGGCGTTGGATGGATTGGATTGCTTTGATCCTGTCAGGGGTTGCACTCGTCCTTTCGTGCATACTTAAGGAGACCTATGGGCCCATTATACTCCAGCAGAAGGCGGCCCGTTTGCGCAAAGAAACTAGTGAATCGCGTTGGTGGTGCCGTTACGACCAGAAGGCTAGCCTGAAGGAATTGCTGACGGTCAACCTGAGTCGTCCATTTGTCATGGCCGTCACCGAGCCGATCTGGTGAGCCGTTCTTACTACATTTTCCGGATGCGCGAGACTTACGTGGTATTTTCTACAGTATCTTCTGGAACATCTACATTGCCATCGTCTATGGCATCCTATACCTCTGTTTCACAGCTTATCCCATTGTCTTCCGTCAGATCCGCGGCTGGTCTCTCGGCTTGTCCGGCCTGGCCTTCCTAGGCATCGGTACCGGATGTCTGATCACTATTGCCTGCGAACCGCTCATCCGCCGCATGATCAACAGCCACAAGATCGACCCCGAGACCGGCAAACCCGCCCCCGAAGCCATGGTGTCGATCGTCTGTATCTCCGCGCTTCTGATCCCCGCGGGGGAGCTCTGGTTTGCGTGGACCGGCTCTCCAGCCTCAGTCCATTGGATTGTCCCGATCCTCGCAGGAATCCCCTTCGGTGCAGGTAACACGGGGGTTTTCATCTATGCGACAAATTATCTCGCGGGCAGCTATGGCGTCTATGCGGCGTCGGCCATGGCAGGTAACTCGGTCATTCGAAGTATCCTGGGCGGCGTGTTGCCTCTGGTGGGGACGTACATGTACTCGGGCATCGGGCCGAACTGGTCTGGTACGTTGCTGGGATTGTTGGAGGTTCTGATTGTCCCGATTCCGTTCGTGTTCTATAAGTATGGATACAAGATCCGAGAGAGGAGTACTCTCATTCGGCGGATGCAGGAGGACAAGAAGCATTTGGAAATGAAACGAAAGCGTCAAATGCAACGAGGTGAGAGGGGGGCTGTGTCTGAGAAAACAAAGATGGAGGTTTGAATGGGAAAGGGCTTTTCTCGCATTGAGACTTAGGCATGAATTGGAGAAACAATCATAGACTCATGTGTTTCCTTAAAAGAAGAAAAGGCTGTGCATGACTGAAACCGAAAATTGGCGCTTCAGGTGTATGGTTCAAACTTACACTATGACCCCTACCTACTGTGAAACCAGAGTGCAATGTTCAGACTTCCAGAGCATGGCTCTGATCATCAAGGCATACGTAGATGCTGAGATTGGATGTGATACTCCATCACCTCCACACCCACTTTCACGTCAACCCGCGCTCCTCACTCGCCGTTCGATCTCCAAGGAGTCCCGAAGAATCCGCTCATACTCCCCCAACGCCACAGCACCCGCCGGGATCACCAGCACAGCTTCAATGTAGATAGTCGGAAACACAGAGGCCGGGCCAGCATCATCGGCATCTTGACTTGGTTTTCTTCTTCTCACATACCCGAGCACAGTCACCCACGCCCCCACGCGCATTTCCTCGGCCGTGACCGATTCTAGCACGGCATTGACGTCGACCAACACTGAGGCTGGCTCTTGCGGGGGTTTACGGTGGGGATAGTTGTGCTCTAGGACGAGGTGGCCTGTTCGGATCAGGTATGTTCTCACGCTGATGACTTGAATTAGCTTCTGCTTCTACGGTTGAGGTGAGGTCGTGCGAGGTGCAATAGGAACGCAAATGAACGGCACGGATCTATATAAATTCTACATGGGGATAGGATAGTGTTTGCATATCAGGGAACGTTCCGACGCACCAACCGAGAAATCGGACCTTCGAATCAAACGGGTGGAAGGGAAGATCCGCGAGAAAACTGCGGGCTGAAGGGAGGGGGCCGTTCATCCCTTCGGACGGTTATTGAGATTTCTTCGTGCCATACATAGTCGGTGGATTTAGATAAGTTGATGCGGGAAGGAAATCAGAAGAAGACATCGAAGGAGCGGGAATGACGTGGGCACGTGACAGTGCCCTCCCCGATAGGCTTAGCGCGTATGTCATAGGGCCAAACGAGGGGAAAACCAAAAGCAGGCGGGTTATCATCCAACTTGAGTTCGTTGCCTTCTCTGCCTCCTGCACCGGCTTTTAACTCTAGACACTGTCCTGTATTTGGTCTTCTGTTCATTTCAGGCAGACTTGCAGATTTCCACCTCCCATCTCCCGTCACCAACTCCCGGTCCGATCGAGTGAGATCCACTCATTGCGACCTCATCCCACTCACACCTCCTCGACCGCCTTCCATCCCACTCCTAGGGAACTCGCCGCTCTCCCCCAACAATCCCCTCACCTCTCGAGCTTTTATACTGCGGATCCGGCGTGAGACGCAGCCGCTGATAGGGTTTCTTGCTCTTCCCCCCACACACATTCTAGACCCTCTACTTCCCACACATAGACCTTATCAACAATGTGGTCCTGGTTCGGCGGAGCGGCCGCTCAGAAGCGGAAAGATGCGCCCAAGGAGGCGATCCTGATGCTCCGCGAGCAGCTGGACATGCTTCAGAAGCGCGAGAAGTATCTCGAAAGCCAGATGGACGAGCAGGATGCGATTGCGAGGAAGAACGTGACGACGAATAAGACCGGTATGTTGTTTTCTTTCCTATGAATCCACCGTGTATGTGTGTGTGTGTGTGTCCGGGGAAACGGTGGCGGGGGTGATACAATAAACATCAACACAGAAGAGACTGATACACAGAACTAAATACAGCGGCCAAAAACGCCCTGCGACGGAAGAAGAACCACGAGAAGAACCTCGAGCAGACGACCGCGCAGATCGTCCAGCTCGAACAGCAGATCTACTCGATCGAGGCGGCGAACATCAACCAGGAGACTCTCAATGCTATGAAGGCGGCCGGTGCGGCGATGACGCAGATCCATGGCTCGATGACCATCGACAAGGTGGATGAGACGATGTACGTATCTAAACAGATTATGGTTGGAGTGGCAGCGCAGACGGGGCTAATCATATCTGGCTGGGGACTTTTACAGGGACAAACTCCGCGAACAGCACCAACTCAGCGAAGAGATCGCCCAGGCCATCACAAGCAGCTCCATCACCGAACAACCGGACGAGGCCGATTTGGAGGCGGAGCTCGAGGGTCTGGAGCAGGAGGCGATGGACGAGCGGATGCTCAAGACCGGCACCGTGCCCGTGGCAGATCAGCTCAACCGGTTACCCGCCGCGGCCAACGGAGAACGTGAGTTCACTTCCCCTTTATCTCCCCACCAAGCTCAATCTCTGGAAGTTTAAAATGCTAACAACATTCAACCTCTAGTCAAAACTCAACCCACGCACATCGAGGAAGACGACGAGGAAGCAGAGCTGGAAAAGCTTCGCGCCGAGATGGCCATGGGATAATTGGGGATCGGGGGCGCTGTGCACCTCCTTTCTTTGCTTTCATCTTGTCCCCCGTACCTTAAGAATATTCCGTGCCGTCTACCCTTGCGCCTTTTTTTGTGTCTGCTTTGCTCTTTCACACACTTCTTATCTCTCTCTCTCTCTCTCTCTCTCTCTCTCTCTCTCTCTTTTGCGTCTTGGAGTTGAGCCGCGTTTGCGCCGCGTTTGCCCATTTTTTTTTTCTCACTACCACTACCACTTACTACCACCACCGCTACTACTACTACTACTACTACTACTACTACTACATTCGCATGATGGAAATGGAATGAATGAATCAATGTCTACAATTAGATACTATGGACTACTGTCTAAATCCACTGAATTAATTTCAATGCCCGTGCGCTTATATGTATTGAGTCCCCGGAAAACCTCCGCTCTTCTGGCCGAAACCAAGACAGATCAGGGGTCATCATGCTGGAGCCTAGAGGTGTTCTCATTCTGCCTTATCGGGTTGTACTACAGATCCCAAACCCAGCTGGCGAACGGTCCATGGCACCTCGGGCAGTTGATCCGGTGACGGGTCGGGGATGCGGGTCGGTCGGTCAGCTCAGCTCGACCATCTGGAAGATCTTTATCTCGGAGCTCTTGAAGTATGAGCTACAATTATGCTAAATGCTAAGGTTGAATCCCTTTGATACTTACAGCGTCTGTTTGTTGACTGCTCTTTCTTGGGTTGAATGGTCGGTGTTTTGCCGAATGATACGTCGAGAGGTATTACTAAGTATGAGCCGAGGTGGAATGAAGTATAGGTCGCTGCCTGGCCGTCTACGCTCAGGCAACTCTCATTCAACAGGCATCTCCCGTTCAACAGACCTTTCCCATGCGAGGGTAGGCAGATACGTATCGAAAGGAATCTCCCTACCCAAGGGCCAAAAAGAGTAAAGACGACGCAAGTCAAGCTTCAGCTATCAGATTAAGAAAGCTATTAATACACATTTCAGGGGACCCAATTGATCGATTGATATGAATCGGAAAGCGCCAACTCCAAGGAGATGTTACCCTTCTGCAAAATGATAATAAAAAAAAGGAGGTGAAAAAGGGGGAATGAAAGAACCATCCGTAAGAACGCGTGGAAACCTGACACCGCCGTCCCTGTGCCGAATTGGATCGAATTTGTGAGCGAAAGGATGAACACTTGGATATGTAAGGAGACCTGGGAAAAGAAGACGCCGTTGCATAATCAGTAGTCGGAAAAGGAACATTTATCGTAATACTTTTCGTCCGTCCCCGGGCAGCTTGTTCCTTGCAATGCTCTCCAAACGTGATGGAGCATGGCTCAGAATAGCTAGCTATTTGGGTTGCCTGCAGGATTGGCCCTGGGAAGGGGAAGAAGAGCGTGCCACACATCAAGGGAACCAGGCGTAGCTCTTGAGCGGATTGCTACGAGCTCCGTCAGTGGCCTCGCTGGCCCATTTCGACTTCCAATGCAGTTCATTTGCGGCGGCATCAAGAAGAGCTTCCTGGCAGTCAGGGGGGAGCTCCGCGAGGATTTCGGGGCTCATGAACTCGGCATTCTTTGGATCCGCGACGCTGAGGAATCCATTGGAGCCGACATCGTGGACATCACCGTCCGGGCCGGGGACCCCGAGACCTGAATACGGAGCGGTTTCAAAATGGACATCGTGGATGGCGAAGCGACGAGAGAGAGCCATGGGGACAGAGGAAAAGATGGTAGTGGTTTCAGGGTCGGTCGGTTCGGTTGCTGCTACTGCCGTCGTGTCGCTAGCGTCATTCATCGACTCATCGGCTTCCTGATCCGCCACAACGCTTGACTCATTGGCGTCTTTACCATTCGTCAACCTGAGTGTCGACATTCCCTGTGCCAGTCGACTCGCAAGGCGCGGGTCAGGAGGCGGTACACGCTCCCAGCGAGCATGAGAGGGCTGCATGATCTTTGGGTACTGCATGAGGTTGGTGTGGATATCATATTGACCATCGAGATTCATGCGACGGGTCTGGGAGAGAAGGCTGTTGAAGTTGCTGTATCCATACAATCAGTATTGTCCAATTAGCCAAGTCAGAGAAAAGAAAACACATACCCTGCTTCGCGAGCGTGCTCAAGCATCCAATTGTCGCCTGTGACTGTGACCTTGCGCTTCTTCGAATCCACCACCTTACCCGTGGGCAAGGGCGCTGCGGGTGTGGTAGTGTGGTAGACGCTACTGGCTCCATGCCATGCGACATACTGGTTCTTGTTATAAGATTCTCCCGGGGCGGGGAGTCTATCCTCGGGGACAGCGAGTTCACCTTCCACATCTCCCCGCTCTCTCGCTGCCTGAGTATGATAATCGTCGACGACCTTCTTACCTCCAACGATAATTTTGGCGCCAAACTCGCGGAACACGGACCGGGCAGTGACCACACCGATAGCTCGACCTTTGTAGGAGTGAGGGATGATTTCTCTTTCGATCAAATCGCGCTTCGCGTCATCGTCGATGATGATCTTGTACAGGAACTTGTGTTTCTGGAAGAACAGGTATGAATCCCTGAACCCAATGCAGCGGGCCGGCTCCGTAGACAACATGTATTTCCGGTCTCCACGGTTGAGAAGTGTGAATACGCGAACTCGGTAGTCTCGGCCACCCAGCAGATTTCCGCACTTGTCGACCTTCGTCTCACCCTCCGGGTCGTCGGGCAGGGCTACTTCATCGTCGATGACATCCATCATGTTTCCTTCCTTGTCGATTGGAACCTGCGTAACATGCGACGGTCCGCGATTACGCGCCCAACGTCCACCGCTGGCAGCAGGTCGTCCTCGTCTCCTCTTGACAGGCGTGCTCACATGAATCGGCGCGGGGGCGGAACCGTCGTCAGGCGCATCCCAGTCCGGGGGACGGTTCTTGGGGGGGCGACCTATGCGACGCTTGCGCGGGATGGCTGAGATGCGACCTCCCATGCGAGTTGGTGTCTCGCCCCGTGATGGCGCGTTGGAATCTTGTGCAGGTGTTGCCGCCTCTTCGTCTTCCTGAACCGGGTCTGTTGGACCTTCCACATCCGGATCCTTGTCCGACGCATCCCCAGGATCTGGCATAGCAGGCGAGGAGCCACGCGACGGCGGTGCTTCGATCATCTCTTCGTCAGAGGCATCGGGGAGCGGAGGTGCGGCATTCCCTAAACGGAAATCAATATTCGCGCTCATCATGGATTCAATTTCGCACGCCCTAGCAAGCAGCAGCAGCAGCAGAAGAAGAAACGGGAAAGGTAGAGAGGAGATATCATACTCATTGATTGAGCTGCTGCTTGCGCAGCCGCTCGAAGTTTGCGGGCCATCGTGACGGACAGCGAGCGACCGGTTGGAGTGAATGGAAGGAGGGAACGGGGGACACCAAACAGAGTAAGGGCAGATCGTACTGGAGGAAGAGGCCCTTCGGACGTGCCTTTCCGCTGCCTGTTGCGCGCTAAACCAAGAGGGGGGGTCGGACGCGGAGCTTTGGTTTGGCCGAGAATGCTTCATATCACGTGATTTGAGATTGAAAAACTGCGCTTCATGCCTCAGGCATGAGGGAGATGCTGCCTTGCCACGTGCCAACTTCTGTTCCATTCCCCTTCCCCTTCCTTCCCCTTCTCCAATTTTTTTTCCCTTCCTCCACTTCTGCCCCCCTCAATGGCGCGATCCCATTGACACTCGATGCCAAATGATGTCATCGCTCCCTTTGCCCCGTCGATCGCCGACACTTAACTAGCGCTTGCATTGAGTTCTGATTTTCCGGAAAACCTCCTCTAAAACTTATCTACGGGCTTTCAATTGACATTTCGGGCTCCTTCCCACCATGTGTTGCAGTAGGAGTATGCGGGATTTTCCGTGGATGGCAAGAGGTGGACTTTACTGGGTGTTATGAGCAGGTCCAGGAGCACTGCATAGTACTGCTCAATGAGGGCTTGAGCGACCACCCAGGGTTATCGCGATAAGGTAAGCACAGACATTAACTCACCACTGGTATTAACAAGGTACGTAAGAACTTATCGCCTGCGCTTCATCCCAGCTTCACATGCAGTGCTGTAGAGAGAAACGGCGGTGGGCATTCTCTTTTTTGACTTTTCGACAGTTTCTGAAACCCCTCTTGCCTTTGCCCCTCCTATCTGCCCCCATCCCCAACCCAACCCCACCATGATAGGGTGCCTCTTCTCCGCATGAGTGAATATCAGATGCATCTCTCTGAGGGGGTTGAGGACCTCCGCTCGTGCAATCATGTTGATCGCGTTGAAAGGGCGATCATGTCGTATACTGAGTACGCCGTAGTGTTTATCTCTTCCACGGCGTGGTTTACTCCGGAGCAATGGATCTTCTGCTGCTGCGTGTGGCCCGGCGATCGCGCTTACACAGCTTTTGCTGCAGGTGACCGACCTCACTGATCACAGGTCGCCCTTGCCGACCCAAGCAACAACCCTAGATCGCCCAAACGGCCGATGGTGACACTGGGGGCTGCGCAGCAGGATTTTGGACTAGAAGCCGGGAGGAAGAAAGTCTATCAGTAAATTCTACACGGGCCACCCCTATCACTATTGGAGGCTGCTCAACAGGAGATATCGTTTCGATCCGCGGGCGCAGCTGCAAGCTGTATTTTACCTTCCTCCTGATAAAAGTCAACAACAATGCATTATGGAGTGATCTCCGCCCCCCGCCCCCCCCCAAGAGCGTGCGTTAAGGCCAAAAACTCAAGCTGACTGACTGATCCCCTCGGCTGTCACTGCCGTCGAACCAGCTGTCTTGGGAGATCGACTATCCTGCTCCGCTCTCCTCCCCACGGCTACTGTTGCGATGACGCGCAAAAGTCGGTAGCTTGCAGTCATAGATAGACATTATATGGTGTGGGCACAGAGCTTCCCCACCGACCATGTATGTACTATGCTCAGCGGCCCTGAAATTCGTGAGGTGCACATGCAAGGAGATGGTCAGCCCGGCAATTCCGCTAGTTTCCGATGGAGGGAGAGGTTTTTTTTTTCTTCTTACGAGGATCATTATTATCAACATCATCGGCGTCTTACTTTCATTCAATTGGGATAAAAGCGAATCCAGTGGGCGGGGAGGGAGGGGGAGGCTGTTGCGCAACTCGTAGTCAACTTAGGGCATCTGACTAAGAAATTAGGAATGCACGGAAAGCCTGAGGATGATATCGACAGTAAACAGTACAATATAGCGAAGACTCGACATCGAAGGCTTGCTTGTACGTAAATGCGGCATGCGGCTATACTACTCCCG